ATGCTGAAATCGCTCTTCAAAAGCTCTTCAAAATAGATTGGTGAATAAAAATGAATAACAACTGAAGTTAGAGTGGTTTATTTAGTTCGATGTCAGGATATTTCAAGTAAGTATTGATTAGGTTATATAGACGCTACAGTGATGATGGTTCTAGACACGCGGGGCAAGTTGTTTTAGCTGATTTTCTCCTCAAACGGCGTAGATTGAACACAATTTTACTTCCGGGTTTACCCACGACAGTTTGCTATCGGCAACAAAAATAACACTGTCGTTATCGACAATGGAATCTCACTGTCGTTCGGGCAGTTGCCATACCATACATATTCTGTCACAAGAAACCAAAGAAAACGGATTCAAGGCGAGCAATCCGGTCCCAAAAAGAGAACTGAACCAGGCCATGTGCCGGTTAGGTCGACGCCATTTTGAAAAAACTTTTTGAATTGTATCGTATCGTATGTCTTTAATAGCTTTATAACTTAATACCATATTTGTGAAATAAATATAACATACTAGGTCTACGAGCCTTTAAATTGTTTGTTGTCTACTGTAAATACAACAGTAATACACCTCCATGGTGATCGAAATGATGAACCTTGCGTCATCGATCGCGATCATTCATGACGGGGAATACATTATCAGTTCTGCCTTATAGTTATATTTATAACAGAGTGTCAAAAATCCAATTAATATCTGCCATTCGTCATTTTATTAAATAAAAGATCCGAATATGTTTAATCTTCAAGCAAAACGATCGAGAGATAATTGATTGTCAACATAAAATTAACGCATTTTCCTGTCATGTCGGTAACCAACGTTCACGAGTTGGTCAGGTTTTGATTGGCACTTTTGGAGTTAATTCTATGAATTGTAAGTATTGATGTGAACATGGTCATGTTTTTCTCGAACAGGTGATATCATATTATAGTATGTCAATATGCCAAATACATCGTCAAAATCTTCAAATTGCTCCATTTTCTTGTTAAGAAGTTCGTAATATTTTTCTATGTGGCCGCCCCGCTACAATTGCGCATGCGCATTTTTCGGGCCAATCAAAATGCTGGAATTTGTCGAGTCGCAGTGACGCCGCTCATGAATATTCATAGGTAGGTTATGGCGACCTCCATAATCCAGGTGAAGATCCAATACCTCAAAATTAATTCCAATATATCTGCCGATGCATTAGAAGATCGTCGCTCATACCCGGGTCATGTTTTTGATTATAGACTTATTATTCTGATGAATCATAGTTTTTACTTGAGGTTATTACCCCTTTAACGTGTATAAAATGACCCTTTCAAGGAAAAATCACTTTTTTCACATCATTATTGTCAATGTTTCTATTTATTATCAAAGTAATCATTATTTTCAGTCATTTAAGACTTTTGAATTGATCCTGTTGCTATCATCTTACATAATAGAAACAAAGCATATTGGGCAACATTCACAAACATATCAAATATAACAAGTCAAAAATACAAACAAAATATTGAATAGTGATCTTTATACTTCATTTAGAACAATTGTCTACAAAAAAAGTTTGCGAAACTATGTCAGAAAAGAATATTGAGTTTTTTTAATTTACATCACAATGAGAAAGAACAAGGGACGACATTTAAAAACACATGAAGTAATTAACAAGTCAAAAATACATATGAATCAATTATATATTGATCTGCTTCCTTGAGATCATTTGCACATATGCAGTTTGTTGCAGTAAAATACTGAATTTATTATTTCACATCACAGTGAGGAAGCACAAAGAGCAACATTTGAAAACACATGGACTTTACATAAACTGTTGATGAGCACATTCATGTGTTTGTTCATTTGGACTTTTACACAAATTAGGCCATATTTATTTATCTTTTTTAACAATGATGGTATATTTCCCATCTACTTGAAGATGGTCATCTATGCATCGTTTAAATTGGTTGGCTTGATCTCAAGAGAGTCTACTATGATTTAGATGTTACCCTCTTGTCTCCATACAGGGGGTACTGGGATATTGCAGTTCACTCATGCAGTTCCCTTTGCTTTGGGCATTTTATTAGCAAATGTCGTTTTACCGCCTACTGATTGTGACTTACAGTATATTTCTTCTGTACAATAAAGTTGAGCTGGATTTCTAAATATGAACATTGGTATGATCAGCCAGTGAACTGTGATAATATAAAAAAAAGTATTCATACACAAAACATCAAGATAAAATGATTGTACAACAATCATTTCATATGAATGTATTTAAAGGAATTGCATGTTATTATGTTGCTTAGAGCCATGGTAGAGATATATGCTTCTCAAGAGGTCATGCTCCAGTGCAAGCATACATATTAGTTCATGAAAAGATCATATGAATAAAGAAAATATACTCAAATATATAAAACACAACTGTCACAATCATTCTAAGGATTTTCAAAATGGCTGACATCATTTTATTTCATGCTGAAAATTGCAGAAAAGTTCCATTTTTGCACAACGCTTGGTCCTTACCTAGATTTTTACATATCTCAAGAAGTACCTTAGAAGTACACTATTCCCTCAATACATATAACTTTCTTGGTAAAGACCAAGCGTTATGTGAACAAAGCAAGAGTTTATCATGACCTTCCTTTATCTAAAAAGAAGTAGGTCAACACAATTGCAAACATAACTAATCCCTTTTCAATGACTATTGAAATATGACTATTTATATGTACAAAATATTAATCCAATGAGTGTATAGAGTGACACAATCAAACAATGGGACATCTGACAGTTTCAGTTTCTAACTGTAATCTTGAATGCTTTTTATTGCTATTTCTTGAAAATATACATATTTATCTACAATTTGATCATACATATCAAGGATATTAACGACATTGCATTTTTCAAAACATGTTAAGTGACCCCAGGGGTGTCTATAGCCATTCGTTCTTTCACCGACAAAATACTGGTTTTTGGTCAATATGTACATCATCACCCATCAATTTATCATATCCTATTGTTTTACAAAAATGACATCATATACCAATATGTTTATGAATCTATGGAAGCAAGACAAAACATCATTAATTGAATATGATAGCTTCTTGGCTACATTCCCCCCTCTCTTGGAAGCAATTCTTGCAATTGGCCATGTGATTTACCTGTCAAATCTACCATTAGTCCTTACTATAAAACATGTTTAATTGAATGCAACATCCATAGAAGTGTAAGATTGTGTCATTGAGTTCAAGGTAATACTGATAAATCACTAAATTAATAACATTTTCCATCTTAGAAGCCGAAGTTAATTTTACAAAAATTAAATGGAAGTGAACAATTTCTTCTTGTTTTACATTATGATGTCTTATTCGAAAGTTGTTTATATTCACATGCCAAGAAATGATGCATCTTCAATGCCTACAGTAAACAAAGCTGCCAGTTCCTAAAACATTCTGCCATTATGATGTTATCAGCACAACAGAAGTATTTATCCTAAGATTTCTGTATTTGTAAGCAATATGTAGAGTATTAAAGATTATTATGACCCAAGTTTCAAAAATCTATGAACTAAAAATCAAACAAGTAAACACCAAAAACTGTAATTCCCAGAGCTCTGAAATCTTCAGAGGACATATGTTGCATATACAGCAACTACTACCACTTATTTGAAAGTTCTACTTCAACAAAGTGTCTGATATCCAAACAATCAATTTGAAAAATCAACTTTTTTTACCTTTCGAAGGTCACTGAAGGTCAAATCTCAAAACCAAGGTCAGATTTGAACTCCTGGCAACTTGTAGACAGTTTTCCCCGAAAAAATTGGTCAAATTGAAGCAAGTTGAAAAATAATTTATTTTTACTGGTTTTTGACGTCAAATATCTCAAAACAGTAAAAATTTGATGCTGACATATATTGAGCAATATGTAGAGAATGCTTAAATCTAGTAATGATGTAATTCATTGCAAGTAATGAACAAGTATAGGGACAAAGTTTGAGAAACTTGTAAATCACAAAACCTGCCATTGACGATATACATGAGAAAGTTCCCTGAAAATGTCAGTCCTACTTTTTGTCAAATTTTATAGAGTCAACACCAAAAACTGTAATTTCAAGAGCTTTGAAATCTTCAGAGAACATAAATTGCATTTAAAGCAACTACTACAAGTTATTTGAAAGTGCAACTTCAACAAAGTGTCTAATATTTACAGAATATTTGACTTTTTGACGTCAAAATCAGCAATTTCTCGAAAACTGGGCGAACTTGGGAAATGGCGATGATAGGACAAATAGGCATTATGGATATGCATAAAATGAATGTGGATACGACTCAATCTGAATAGCAGTTTTAATTTGTTCGGCCAATGTTGACAGATGGACGGACCAACGGACAGACGCCTGGTCGATCCCATAGGCTCACTGTGTGAGCCAAAAAAAGAAAACAGGCATAAGTAAAAGTAAATAATAATCGAGCTCCCATGCAGTGTCTCGGTATAGACACTGCGGCGGGCAGATGAAGAAAATCCCCAAAATTTGGGGAAAATAGTTCCCCTTTTCATCATATATGTGGTCAATTTTCACACAACCTATAAAATATGTATTCATGAATGTTCCCCAAACATTATTTTGTCAAAATATTTCAAAATTATTGAAATATGAGAAGAAATCATCGCGGAAGGAATTCTGAGTAAAAGTCGTGTTTAATAGTTTACCGCACGTGTTGTTTATCAGTTAATATGCGCAATTCAACCTATGAAATTGTCTAAATTTTACAATCACGCGACCTGAGCATGGGACTAGAACCAATCACGTCAGTTGTTTATTACGAAGTTACCATGGTTACGGTGAGATACCTGCCCGCCGCAGTGATATATCACTGCACAGGAGTTCGAATAATAATATTTAAATAAATAAATAAAAAGACATGGACTTCAAGGCGATTATTTCTATAAAAGCCAATAATTTTACTTTCAAATTCAAACAAACAAATCATTATTTTCATAATTTTTTAACTTTGAAAGTTTAGTTAAATATCTACCTCAGTTTGCTGAGAGTTCCCCCAGCACATCGCAGATATTTCTTGACTTTTGTCGACCATCTTTGCCCCATTCAGGTTAGCCCATGACTGCTTCTCTATGTTCACACCTTATAAAAATACAATATGAAACTAGAAAACAATTACTGTCTCAGGCCCGTAGCCAGCTTTTGCCAAGAGGGTTTACTTTTTAAAACTTTAAACCAAAATTACTCCGAAAGTACTCCGAATTGTGAAAAACTGTCTGTTTTTGAAGGACCTCCCTCTCCTGGCTACAGGCGTGTCTCTGAAGACTAAATTAAACAAAGTAAAACATATTTAATCAAATTACTCATCATTTTGAACATCGTATGATAGAAATTAGGTTCCAGATCTACCTATCTACTGTTCTAACAATAATCTATTTAAATTTTTTCGAGCTCTCCTCTGCCAAAGGCAGCCGCACAATGGGAGCATTAGCTCGAACCATTGATCACGTTTGCTCCTGTAATAATTCACATCTTCACCTCCTTCCACCTTGATTTAAATCAGTGTATCAAACTTCACCTCAAATTGAAACATAATTTTTTTTTTTTAAATACTGACTAATTATTGTATTTTTAAAAGTCCTCTATAAAACGTCAAATGAAGCCAGAATTAGCTATGCAATGTCGAAAAATGGTGTGATACACGTTTCAAATCATGACATCATAATAACAATCTTGGGAATGAACTCTTAGAATATAATTGCATCATCTGTGATGTCAGACATGTATTGCCCCATCGACAACTAAACAAACAAATAATCTAGACCTCACTGATTGGTCAAACGTTTCCTCGCAACGTTTCTGAGGCCATAAGTATGTTACCTAAACAACTTGCTCTTTGGTTTTTGATGCACAGTGAGGGAATGTACTAAAAACCCTTCGACCCTTCGACCCTGCAACCTACGACTTACAGCATGTCAAGAATTTTTGAAATATATTTTTATAAAAACCCTTCAACCTTCTATTTCTCAGTCCATATGAAGTTGCTGGAAATATTACTTTGTGTATCGAACTTAAGAATCTGTCCCAAGAGAGTTAAAGATATTTAAGCTGGACTTTGCCCCGAAACGCAATCTTGGGTTGTTTCGGGGATGAACTTTATCATTTTGAGCTTAATGAAAGATTATAGAATGATGAACGAAAGCGTGACGTCACTTCCGAATCATAGCATTCAAAATAAGTAGCGTTTAATTACTTTCACCATCAATAATATCACTGTGGTCTAGCGGTAGAATGCTCGCTTAGCACGCGGGAGGCCCGAGTTCGAAACCCGAATTCGCCTTTTTATTTTTTTTAACTAAATGATTGTTCTTTGACATTACGCAGATAATTTTTTTTTATTTACATAAACTTTATATTAGAGCTTGAAAATGTAAAAACAATATATGTCAACATATTGCGTTTTGGAGCGATGTGCAGGTTTAATGTATTCAAGCACATTCGAATGTGAACGTTTCTTATCTCCTCAGTAAAAATATTTGTGCTTTTCCCATCACATTAATTGTAACAGTGGCGCATCGTGTTTATTTCCAGGAGGTCAAATTTTTTATATAGTTTAAAGAGATTTTATCAACTTTGATTCAATTTGGATTTGTATAGTTAAGAATCTAATGCCAACTACACGCCCGGTGATCGTGAATATGGGACGGAGGGGGGGAGCAGGCAATTTCTGCTAGGAAATTCAACAAATCTGGAAGATTTATTTTTTCAAGAAAAAGTTTACTATTGAATTGATAAATGGATAGGCGCACGGTATGGTAGAATATGTTAGGTTTTCTGGGATTTTTTCTGAAACAATACGCATCTAAGGTATGAGATCTATTAAAAAAGGCGAAAGGCCATCAACAGGCACAAATCAACGTGTTTGCTATAAATCAAGCAACAATGGTCTGGACGACCTGTAATAAATACTTGTAAGTGATGTTATCATAACTAAATTAATGTCATTGCTGAATTTATAAAATAAGTTTCCATATGTGAAATAAAAAATAATCGAAAATAATGAATTTGGGACGGAGGGGGGGAGGGGACGGAGGGGGGGAGCAATATGTATATAAGACATGATTAGAGATGTTTCGCGACTTTAAGTCCTTTTACTCCAAATGTCCCCATTTTTCAGTCTCCAGGGGTATATCATCCAGTTTCTTACTAAATTAATGAGTTCATTTTTCAAATACAAGAATTCGTGTGAAGTTGTTTCACTTTATAGAATTATTACTCCCCCCCTCCGTCCCCTCCCCCCCTCCGTCCCCTCCCCCCCTCCGTCCCATTTGAATTATTTTCGATTATTTTTTATTTAACGTATGGAAACTTATTTTATAAATTCAGCAATGACATTAATTTAGTTATGATAACATCACTTACAAGTATTTATTACAGGTCGTGTAGTCCATTGTTGCTTGATTTATAGCAAAAACTTTGACTTTTGCACGTTGGTTGCATTGCGCCTTTATTAATAGATCTTATATCTTAATAGAGTATCGGTTGAAAAATAATCCTAGAATACCTAACATATTTTATCATACCGTGCGCTTATTCAATTTGCAATTCAATCGTAAACTCTTCCTTGAAAAAATAATTTTACCAGATTTGTTGAATTTTCTAGCGGAAATTGCCTGCTCCCCCCTCCGTCCCATTTTCACGATCACCGGGCGTGAACTAAATAAGTAGATTCTTTGTTTTGCATCCTACAAAATCCAAAGCATGGAAAATAAACACAAACTCAAGAAAAAGCTTGCAAGCTAGGTCATATCAGGTTCGTATAACCAGCTTTTGCCAATTTAAGTTTTTCAAAAGGATCAAGGGGTGAACATTTGACAATTTTCAAGTGGCCCAGAAATCTTGAAAATGCTCAGAATCGTGAAAAATTGTACTGATTTTGAGAAAATATTTGGCCAATGGAGTGGTCCACTTGAACCCACGAATGTCCCCCCCTGAATATATACATTTTAAGGGCATAAAGGTTATTACAAACACATCGATACAACTATATTTATTAGACATAGATATGAAACATTTCAGAACTAGATAACAGCAACGCGAGGTGGAGCAAATCCCATCGAACTTTTGATCTCAAAATCGTTCAACTACTTTTCAAGTTTAAGTAAAAAAGTAAAATAAGACTTTAAAATAGAGGCCACTTTTCAAAATGGCCACCTGGCCAATGTGCCATGCTTATGAGTATCAACATATCAAATGTGAAAAAATTAGTACCGTGGGTACTGGGCTCACATGGTATTGCTCAAAAGTGAAAATAAAAAAGACGGGTATAATTTTTTGCAGATTTTTTGTGACAAAATTATTTCATACAACTACTCTTTACAAAGACATGGCTTTTTACAATGCAGGACACCTGAACTTATTTGTAAAGCTAGGAAATGGGCCAAAAGTGAATTTCCCGAGACAAAAATGGTGGCCATTTTGAAATTAGACGAGATTTTGAAGCAGGAGTCACAGTTTTTTTTTTTCTTTATTGATGTTGAACAAAATTATTTTAAATCGGGAATCCTATCTACAGAGGATTTAAAAAGTGTTGACAGAGGTTTAAAACTTGCCACGTTTTTGGACTGACTGAGAGACAGATGGACGAATCAATGTTAACTAAAATGGCTGAAAATAAAAAAAACTGATATAATATTTTGCCGACTTTTTGTAACAAAATTATTTCATACAACTACTCTTTACAGTGACATGGCTTTTTACAATGCAGGACAGCTGAAATTATTTGTAAAGCTAGGAAATGGGCCAAAAGTGAATTTCGCGAGACAAGAATGGTAACCATTTTGAAAATAGGCGAGCTTTTGAACCAAGAGTCATAGGAGAGTTTTTTGTATTGATGTTGAACAAAATTAACTTAAAACAGGAATCCTATCGACAGAGGGTTTAAGGCAAATGGTCCAAAAGTGGACTTTGCGAGACAGATGGACAAATCAATGTTAACTAAAATGGCTGAAAATAAAAAAAAATGGATATAATTTTTTGCTGATTTTTCGTAACAAAATTATTTCATACATCTACTCTTTACATTGACATGGATTTTTACAATGTAGGACACTTGAAGTTATTTGTAAAGCTAGGAAATAAGTCAAAAGTGAATTTCGCGAGACAAAAATGGCGGCCATTTTGAAAATAGGCGAGCTTTTGAGCCAGGAGTCATAGGGGAGTTTTCTGTATTGATGTTGAACAGAAATAACTTAAAACAGGAATCCTATCGACAGAGGTTTTAAAACGTGCCACTGTTGTTAACGGAAAAGTGGATTTCACAAGTCAGATGGACAAGTCAATGTTAACTAAAATGGCTGAAAATAAAAAAATAGATATAATTTGTCGCTGATTTTTTGTAACAAAACTATTTCATATATCTACTCTTTACATTGACACAGATTTTTACAATGTAGGACACCTGAAATTATTTGTAAAGCTAGGAAATGGGTCAAAAGTAGAGCTGGCATCGAATGTCGGAATGGTCGATTGTCAGTCAAATGCTCTCTGCGACACCCATGTCGACACAACGCCTCTTGATCGACAGTCGGAACTCACAACATAATAAGCTATTTCCCTATGTATTAAAATCTTTGTTACTACCTGCTGTATGGTGTACTTTAGTGAAGTTTTACCGCCTACATTTTCAAATTTTCTTTTTTGTTTTGATCGACTTCCTGCTCTCGAATTAGGTCTCGGGGCCCCTCGAGATTTATTTTCAATGGCTGCCCGGAAATAACAACAGAAATCGTAGTTTTATGTCTATTCATTGCTTTTTCGTCAAAGTCTGATACTTGAACATGGTTTACCTGTAAGTTAAATATAAAACATACAACTGAGGATGACTATTGTGCATCGTATTGCTAATTACAAGCCTAGAAAATCTAAAATTCAGACAGATTTTCTTCAAATTTTTTTTTATTTTTTGAATATCATTGGACCCTACAATGTCGATATCGTTGTCGATTGAGAGCTCCGACATATCGACATTAAAATCCTATTCGATGCCAGCTCTAGTCAAAAGTGAATTTCGCGAGACAAAAATGGTGGCCATTTTGAAAATAGGCGAGCTTTTGAACCAGGAGTCATAGGGGAGTTTTCTG